GAGAATCTTCCTGCCCTGGAATCCACTTTAATGCTATTTGCTCACGGCCTAATTTGTGCCTAGTCCTGCATTTCTGCCAACAGCAGATTTCAAATAGGAAACATTTTCCTTTCACAGATGGCTCTCAGCGAGTCGGGCTGCCTCTGCCTTGCACTGTAACATCTCAAAAAGTATTTCAGCCATTGTTTCCAACCTTCAAGTCAAGTCCGCTCTCTGCTGCCAGAACCTGGATTTAGCCTGGAGCTAAATGTTTAACTGTGATAGCTTCTCGTTGCCAACATACTTTAGTCCCTGGAGTCATTTATGTGGACACACAAACACACACACACTCATAGAGGGACACAGAGATGGAAAGCCAGAAATTCTAAGTTGTAGTAATGGCAGTTACAGCACTAACCTGCATTCAGTTTTATCAGCCAAACCATTATCCATGCAGCAATTGCCTTTTTTTATATATGATGTGGTGGAAGAGAATGGGAAATAAAATCCTCAGGAGCAGAGAATGATTTACACAGTAATACCCACCTCCCCCGCCACCCACCCAGCTCAGGCGCCAGTCCGCTTTGTGAAGTGCTTTGAGATCTCCTCTCAGCACGAAAGTGTGTAAACGTAAGTGGTTGTTATTCATATGGTGACTCTTTGTTTCCGTCAGTCTTTCAATGTAAAGATTATGTGAGCTCACAGTTAGGGATGCAAACCAAGGCATTAGTCATATGCTTGACTGTAATCCAGACGCTTGGCTCAGTGCGAGTGAGGTAAGATGAGATGTCTCTTTCCTGCCACATTTACAGAATCCTGGATTGTCCACAAGCTAACTGGACATTCACCTCATATGGAGTCCTGTAGCTCAGTGGTTAGGGCACGCGCCTCACAAGCGAGAGACCTGGGTTCAATTCCCGGCAGGGCGAAATATTGGGCAAGTTTCCTTCCTCCACACCCCACTGTTTACCTAGCAGTAAGTAGGAAGCTGGTTGTTAATCAATTGGCGGATCAATTTTCTGAGGGTAATAATTAATTCGAAAAAAAATAATTATAATTTGTCCACTCAATCCATGACTGTTTGTGGAGACGCTGCTGTGAGCAATTGGCTGTCACATTTTGCCCACAAAATACACAGTCAATTCACTTTACAGTATATACTATGAAGCGCTTTGAGACGTCTCAAAGATTTGATAAGACACAATATCAAATGCAAGGATTATTATATGTGATGCCTTTAAATTTTCAGTAGTCTGATTGTTGTTTGCACTCATCATTTTTGTCCACGGAGCATAGTGGAGGAGAAGGGGGATAAGTACGTTCTTTCAGAATCTCTGGGTCAAGACTAAGCTACACTTTACACACAGAAAGGAGCATTGATTCCCTTCAGACAAAATAGGAATAATCAAATATATCTGATGAAATGTTGTGACTTGCAGCATTTGGTTTTACTTCTATGAAGCCTTGGCGGACTAACATGAGAGCTTTGTTGGGTGGTAGGGAACTGACCAAGTTTTTACCAGTTTGATTCTTTATGTAATTCTCTTATCCCCTCCAACACTGTGTAAGATATATTCCCTCTCCCCGCCCCAGAATATATCCTATCAATTGATTGATTACCTACCCTCTGTCTGCCCCTGAGTGAAGTCATTTAGCTAATAGGCGATGGTGAGTTGTGTGTGATTAAGGCATTCGCATCCGATCTGGGTTTATTTGCTGGTGATTTCATAAATCAGAAACACACATCTGCCACTAAGATTTGCCCACAAAATATACAATCAATTCACTTTACAGTATACTCTGTGATGCGCTTTGAGACGTCTCGAAGACATGATAAGGGCTATATCAAATGCAAGGATTATTATTATTATTCCGAGTTTCTGACCATGTCCACTTGTTTTTTTTCTTGCACATGATAGGGAATATTTGGACCCATTTAGATTCTAACCTTTATGATAGTCCTCACATTTGACACAGCGCCCGTTACTCTGGAAGGATGTCTCAAAGATGAATTGTAAAGTGTAATGACTGAGTGTTTTGTGGAGATTGTAATGTGCAAACCGTATCCATCCCCACAGTTTGAAAATCACAAATTCTGCAACAAAAAAAAACTTTTTCTCATCTGCCTGATTGGATGGAATGGGTGCGTCCTTTCAGATGAAGATCTGGGCTTTGTTTCAAAGTCAGTCTCACAGAGAGACACTGCATCGGGTATAACAAGCATCAGACAGGAAATTGCCTTAATGTAAATTGCTATCCGCTTAATATTCTGGACAGCATAAAGGCAGATTCCTTCCATGCTAAACATTCCAGTCTTATCAGATAGTTTTCACTATTCACTTAATCCAATTTAGCCTTTAGGTTGTGTCCATGAATCAATCGGTGTTTGGAGTGGTTCTGTCCGTAATGCACTGTGATGTGAGAGAAAAGGAATGTCTCCACCCTGCAGTGTATTACTCATCACTCTCAGTAGTTTTTGCCGGTCAGTGTTTGGACCTAATTGTCTATCAAAGATCTGCGTCGCAAAATGTTCTGTGAACCGCAATCTGCTTGGTGGTAATTTGACCTAACTGATTTATTTATTAGTATCTTGTTATTAGTGTCGAGAGGGAGATGGGTGAATTATCTCTGTTCCTAATTCTGTTGGCTGTGTGACTGGGCTCTCTGATATACTAAGATAATCCCATAGGATCTCTGAAAATAATAAGAATAAATCCTTACATGCTGTAATGTAAAGTGTCTTTCATATTGGGAGGATGTTTCAAAGTGCACAGGATTCACATTCATACTGTAAAGTGACTGCGTGTTTGTGGGTGGCTCAGCAATGTCACACAAACAGCCGTGAAGCGAGCGAGTGATTTATTGGAGAAAAACGGAGACGGAACCATGGAAACGTACAATACAGAGGAAAGCCATTGTGTCTGTGCTACGCTTTGAAAGAGCAAATCTCTCGCTCCTCGCTCGCTCACTCACTCACTCACTCTGTCACTCTGTCACTCACTTTGTCACTCACTCACTCACTCTCTCTCACTCACTCACTCACTCACTCACTCACTCACTCTCTCACTCACTCACTCACTCTCTCTCTCTCTCTCACTCTCTCTCTCTCACTCACTCACTCACTCACTCTCTCACTCACTCACTGTGTCACTCACTCTGTCGCTCATTCACTGTGTCACTCACTCACTCACTCTGTTACTCTGTCGCTCACTCACTGTGTCACTCACTCTGTCACTCACTCACTCTGTCACGCACACACTCACTGTGTCACTCACTCACTGTGTCACTCACTCACTCTGTTGCTCACTCACTGTATCACTCACTCTGTCACGCACGCACTCACACTCACTACCCTCTCATAAAATGTGTGAATGTAACGCTGCAGAAGTCACCTCCCCAAAGTGCTCTGGTCAGCTGAGCTCCAAAGAAATTTACTTCAGATCATCCCTGACCTTCGTCCTATTCAGAGGCTTTCCACAGATTGTTGTTTGGACAGAGACTCAACCCAGAAACATTTCCCCGAATTTCCTGATTTGATCCGTGGGATTTCCATCGGTTCTGTTTTGACTTTAGATTCCCAGCATCAGAAATGGTTTCTTTCCAAGCTCCGTTGATATATTTATTTTTTATTAAAAAGAAATAATAATAATAATAATCCTTGCATTTGATGTAGCGCCTTATCGCGTCTTCGAGACGTCTCACAGACTCTGCATGGAATATACTGTAAAGTGAATTGACTGTATGTTTTGTGGGTGAAACGCGGCAGCCAATTGCACACAGCAGCGTCCCCACAAACAGTCGTGGATTAAGTGACCAAATCATCATCATTATTTTTTTTTGAGAAGTGATTATTATCCCCAGAAAAGCGAAATTTCAGCCTGGGGTTCGAGTTCCTGCTTCACAAACCCTCAGCCTTTGTCACAGGACGAACATTCTCCGAGCTGAGTCAGAGAGACCGTAGTCTTGTGAGTGTGTCGCTGTGACATGGGAACAGGCAGGGAATCTCCAGAGAGGCAGCAAAGCGAAGAATCTGCTTATATATACACGTCCCTTTAGGCATCGGAGTGTGAAGAGGGAGGGAGGGAGCCAAGAAGGGTCATTTTCTGCTTTCTCTGGCTTCACCCCCAGATACTAAACAAGGACAATTCTGTTTCTCATAAGTGATTTGCTGGATTCCTCACAGCACTTCAGGCAATCTTGTTGTGTGCAGCTTTCAGATGAAGAATGAATATTAATTCAGTAATTGATATGGATTTGTGCAGTTTTTTAAAAAAAATGCACGGGGACTATTCGGTGGCAACGAGGTGTGGTGTGTTTTTAGCTGATGGGAAATATTTCAAGGTCTCCATATCTCAAGTGTTGTGAAGCAACCAATTGCTTTATTTAGCCTGCTCGGTAGCTTGTTCAAAGTTGTTAATAAGACGTCTGATTAATCAGAGCATCCTTCTGTTTTCTGTCAAGGCTTCCCTTCGACATAAAATAAAATGACGTGTTGGTTGGATAATGAGAGACCTGATGTTTCTGTTACCTCGAGTTGTTGGTGCATTTCTTGCTAGGAGTTGATTAGTGATGTGTGTGGATGATCATCAGTACTGAGTGCTGTAGCGATTGCATCAACAACAACTACTACTTGCATTTACATAGTGCCCTTCATCCAGGATAGTGTCCTGGAGCCCATCATTTGTCCAGTGGGTTACGTCCACTCCTTCTTCGTGTTAACCTCAGCAATTTTTTCAGCCTTAGCGTTGACGACCGTTTTCCGTGAGTTTCTTTTGTAAGAAATACATTGAAAAAAAGGACAAAAAAGGGCAAAAACAGTTGAGATCGAATTCAACAATTTAATCCAAAAAAGTAATAAAACAAACCCTAAATATCTTTGCGCTGATATGAGTCCTCTTCACGTTCTCAATCGTCTTGGTATCTGTATGGGATACTATGTACGATTAAAAATCCATTTCCTTTTTTGTCTCGGTAACATTCCCAGGTTCATTCGCTCTCTGATCATACTCTTTGCCTCTCAGATGCAGCTGTTGGACACGTTCCCGGTGGAAGGAGGCCAGAAGGACCCCAAGCAACGCTATATTCCTTTCCTGCCAGGTATACGCCGCTCGTTTCCATTCCTCCTCTCTATTCCCCAAAGGCCGTAACTGGCTGATAGTTTGTCTGCAAAAGTCGTATAGAAAAGTGCGCTGGAGCAAAATAACTTCTGATTGTAAAGTATTGAGATTTACTTAACGGCAGGACTGTGAAAGTGATTGTATGAGTACAGTAATGTGTACCTATGAGTGACGTGTATTGCAAAGGGCCGGGTTTGGTGCCTTGATTTGTGCTGAGTGAGTGAGTCTGTCTTTGTCTCTATTCCTCCCTTTGCTAATTCAGGGCCATTTCTTTTCATTATGCCTTTTGTTGCCAGAGCCTCATTTTGCTTCAAGCCTTTTTTTTGGCTCTCTTCCTTCTTCCTGTCTCTGGTGACTGGCTGCAGCTTTGGTATTGCTCTTTCGCCTGTTTTATGAGAGCTTTGTGTCCTTTCTCTCACTCTCCTCACACTCTCTTTCTCTCTCTCTCTCTCTTTCTCTCTCTCACCCTTTCTCGTGCTCACTCACTGGCTCACTCTATTGCGAGCTGGTTCTCTCTCTCTCGCTCTGTCTTGGGGGCTGCTATCCCCTCCTTCTCTTTTTGATCACCCTTTTTGCTAAACTTTCATTTTAAAATCTTTGGGCTCTTGTTTTTCTCCTGTTGTTTTGTTAGCTTTTGACCTTTTTTTTCTCTGCCAAATTTCTGAGCTTTGTTTCTCCGTTCCTTCCTCCTTTGCCTCAATAACAACAACAACAACAACAAATGCCATTTACTCAGCGCCTTTCACGTCAGGAGGACATCCCAAAACGCTGGACAGTCAGGGAACCGCACCCGAGCTGGTGGTTGAGATTAGGAGGGGTGGAGGGCACGGAGGGTAAGGGTAGGAGGGTGACTGAAGGCCCAGACGAAGAGGAGAGTCTTGAGATTGGACTTGAAGGAGGCAAAGGAGGGGACGAGGCGGAGGATGGAGTTCCAGAGGGTGGGGGCAGAGAGGCTGAAGGCCTGATCACCAATGGTGGGGCAGGCAAGGCAGAGGATGTGAAGCAGGCCAGAGCCTGCTGAGCGGAGGGAACGGACAAGTTCGTAGGTGGTTAGGAGGTCACGGAGGTAGGGAGGAGTAAGGCTGTGGAGGGCTTTGAAGGTGAGGACCATGCGAGATACTGCGGATAGGACAAAAACTCTAATTTCTACAGCACTGCTCACGCAAGATAATGTAAGGGATACTTGATATTCCGTAGAAGGAGCCAGAATGAGCTTTATATGGAACAGGTTCAGTTGTATTCCCTTAGCTCCAGCGGTGCTAAGACTCTCCAGAATCTATTCCTCGCTGTCGTTTATGGCTAAAACTGTTCCGCGATAGTAACAAAACTCGACTTTGGCATCCAGAGAAGTGCTGGCCCAGTGTTATTGGGAGAAAGCCATCAGTTTGCTCAGAGGGTCTGTGTCTGATTGCTCATGCCCAGAGCTGTTGCTCATAATTCATACGGCTGGCTGGTCACCAGCAAACCTCAAACTCCAGACCAGATATGGTAGTGATTAAATGTAACTGATTAGCAATGGTCCTGCTCAAATCTGACTTGCATTTTGGTACAAATCTGTCACTCCAGCATAACGATTATGTCGGCTTAAAACCCATGAAATTGTGAAAAGTAATACGGTCTAATAAACTGTTTTTCAGTATTAAAAGTCCTGAAGTACCGTGTTGATCAAATGTGATTCGATTTTACGCCCAGTCTAGGGGATTTCAGCTCTGAATGGATCCATCTCCAATGCCCTCCTAGACACTGTATTGAGTTACAAAAGTAGTTTCTCTTTCTTTGAGAAACATCTGGACTTTTTAATCTGAGTTTGAGATCCCAAATGATGGAAAATCTGGAAATAATTGGAATGTGTAGGACAAAGGGAGTTTTTTTTTTACATTTCACAAAGATCTATGGTTCGGCTCGAAGGTCTGGGGAGAGTGGAAGGAATTTTTCCAGATGACTGAATCCTGCGCTCTCTTCAGGTCCTTTGCTATATTCTGAGCTCAGCTGCACCGAATTATTTCCCGAGCTTTTGTATTTGAGAAGCTTCTGAGCTCCACGTTTCAGAGCGAGAGTTTTTAACCTTTGGCCTGCATGAGCATCTGCCCCCGACAACTTAATGCTCTCCAGAATTTTTCGTATTTTGGGGAAGGGCCGCTCATTGCAGTAAAACTCGCGTATCTTATCTCCTAAATCGTACAATCGCCTAAGTCGTACTTGCACCCGAGTCCCATTCAGTTTCCTACCAGAAACCAAACTGATCGGATTTTGCTGATCGTATCTTGAAGGCAGATGTTATGTATCAGGAAGCTTGGCAGTGTTACCAGCATAAACATTGTATTGCTATGCAGCCGGTGGATTCTGCGGGCTGACCAGATTTCCAGCCCTGTTTTGCTGAATTTCATTATCTGCTTGTTTCCTCATGCGAGTTAAACACATGCAGATGCTCTGCCCAGTCCTCGTCCCTGTAACTTATAAAGACTCCTGTGCTGTGCTGCCCTCACACCGTTCCTATTCCCTTGTCTCTACAAGGATGCAGACGTTTCATTGTTGTTCTCGTGGGAGGGAGAGGTGGGCGGGGGAGTGTTTGCTGTTAAATGGAGCTGGAGTTTGGCTTTGTGAGGACATTTGGCTGGTGTTTGTGCGTGTGTGGTTTTCACATCTGGATTAATGATGCTTTCATACATTCACGTGCAGGGCAAAAGCATCGAGTGTCTCCCGCTCTGTATCATAAGCTAATGCAGAACGCTCTTCTTTGTCTTCCATTTCTGTGACTCAGAGAGTAAAAGGAGAGGTTCGGAAGAAGTTTTTTTACACAAGAGGGTTGTCGGGTGTGCAGTGATTTATCTGGGGCAGCTATTAGAGCGCAGTTGATCGGTGTGTTTAATAGAAAATTGGGGATCGGCAGTTTCTTAAAAGACACACAAAGTGGCTGATTGGCCTCCTACTGTAGTGTGCGTTCTGTTTTCCTCGATTGCTTTCATTTTCTCCGATCTCTTTGATTTTCTGACGACTATTTTTGCTAAACAGCAATTGTTTACTGGTTTAAACTCTCCCCGAGCAACATAACCCTTTTTGATTTGGTTTGAGGAAAGTGTTTGTAAAATTGGCTGCATTCCCAACGAAAGTCATGGCACGGACGCAAGTGTGACTATTGCTCCCTGTCTATTGCAGGATTAAGAGAGCTGCAGTATCTGTAACAATTCATAACAACAACAACAACAACAACAACAAGATTACATTTGTATAGCGCCTTTCACATCAGGAGGACCTCCCAAGGCATAAGCGTCTGTATCAACCCAACATCTCTGTCAATCCGATGCCTCTGTTTCACTCCCAAGCACACAGCTCCAGACAGCTCTCTTGTCTCTGGACGTCTACCAGACGCCGTCATGACTTGGAGCTCTGAGCCTTTTCTGCAGATGTTTATAATCCGAGTTGCTGAGCCAGCGTTGCTGGAGGCAGCACACACTCACGCACACAGAGCTCAGGGAATTCCGTGCTGTGCCGTTAGGTTTCCAGTACATCTCCCTCCAAATTCATCTCATTTCGGATAATTGAAAGCAAAGCACTTCTATTTAAAGGCTCGTGTTTCTGAGCAAAGATGATCATTTCCCCAAAGGTATTTTTGTGAATTTCGCGCTGAACCTCGCTGTCGCTCTTGGCTGGGGTCAGGAAGTTTGCTTTATAATATTCGCCTACAAAACTCACAGTCACTCCACTCCACAATAAGTCCCGTGAAGTGCTTCGAGAATCCTCCCAACGTGAAAGGCGCTGTATAAAGTGCGAGGACTATTCATATACGATTGTGTTAAAACCAAAACGTGGAGGAAGTGATCTGTGAGTGTGACGTGGTCGTAACCATATTTCTCGGCGGAGGAGTTCTGAAAGGGTTAATGGGCGCCTTGCTGCTTTGATCCTTGTTTCTGAGGTTGACTGTGAAGCTGCTGATTTCTTACTGGCACCGACCGACCTGGGGAAGCTGTGGAAATAAAGTATGCGGTTTGTGACTAAGGAAGGAAATCCTTCAGGATTTTTTTTTGAATGGCGAGTTGCCTTATGTGGTTGTGGACATCTGACGACAGAGCAGGTTCTCATCCCAACATGGCATTGTTTTAGCGTTCCCTCATAGAGATGGGAGGCGGGTTCTTTTCCAGGTGTGTGCACGTGTCTGCTGGTGTCTAGTTTGTCCGTTGGCAGATATAAAAGTATCAGTAACTTTGTGTGTGGGTGTATGTGTATGTGTGAGCGAGTGTGTGTGACAGAGAGATCATGTATCAGTGTAGTTTGTTGGAAGGTGGTTGTCTACTGGGGTCTAGTTTGTCTGTAAGCAGATATAACAATGTCAAGGTGTGTGTGAGATGATGTATATTTGTAGTTTATTTGAAGGAAGGTTAATGTATTAAGTTGTAGTTGAATTGTTTGATCCATTCCTAACGTTTCAGTAACTTTCTGAGACCTACGCGGATTTTAATGGCAGTTTAATATGTAATGAGCATTGTTCCGCTGATTAAGTTCAGCTTGTAACTCAAGTCATATCTGAGCCAGTGAACCTTCAGCGACCGTGTTATTCGTGGGTCAGTGAATCACAGGAGCGGTTAATGTCAATACCCGCTGTGACTCCAGCCAACGGCAAAACAACAGAACTAGCATGGCACCTCTCAACTCTCCAACTTAAATAAAATAATACTCAATAGATTTACTCATTCGTCTCGGGATTCAGAGAACTCATAAACCACTCCTAATTGCACAGGTTATACTTATTGCTTTTGTACTGGGCTGCTTCCTCCTCTGCTGTCTCAGTCCCCACGGTCAATGTGGCAGCTGGCAAACTGCTCCTTGGACTCCCACCACTTACGATAGATCTAGCCATTAACTAGGGAATGAATGCTCAGGAGGACAATCTGGACTTCCTTTATTCCCTCCGAGAGGAGGTGGGTTGTTGTCCTTGTATGAGAGTAACCTGGAAACCTTTAGAGTCGTGAATGCATAGGGTGC